GATTTTATTGAGGATTTTTGCATCTATGTTCATGATGGAGATTGGCCTGTAGTTCTCTTTTTTGGTTGACTGTTTCTCTGGTTTTGTTATCAGTATAATACTTGCTTCCAGGCATGATTTTGAAAGTACTGTTTCCCTTTCAATTTCATTGAAGAGTTTGAGGAGTATTGGGATTACATTTTGTGTAAATTTCTTGTGGAATTCAGCTGTGAATCCATCAGGACCTGAGCTTTTCTTTGTCAATACTTTTTCTATTACATTTTTAATTTCATTGGCTGATATTGAGTTATTGAGAGTTCTTATATCTTCTTGATTCAGTTTTGGTAATTTGTACCTATCTAGGAATCTGTCTATTCGCATTTAATATTTTTGTTCCTGCTTATCTCTCTGCCCTTGTTTCTTACTTCTGCTATTTTCCATTTCCTGGCATTGTTCTTCAAAACTCTACCCATGGCAGATGTAGTTAATGGTCACAGGGATTGTTTTCCCTATCGAGCATGTGAAGGGATTGATAATTCTTTCCCAAGTGCCACTCCACTGATTATACCTATCAAATGGCCCAATAAATGAACCTTCCACATCATCTTGTATTTTTTAAATAATTCCTGTCTTGTTGATAATTACCCTAAACCTGTATTTTTCTGCTTTTTCCATCTCTGTTGTTCAAAAATATCCTTTACCTAATCTAGCTTACCTTGAAGATTATTTGAGCACTGAGCAATCAAAGAATATGTAGTCATTATTAGAAAATGGCTTCCTAAAGAGTGAAGCGCTATGTTAAGATTGGGGATGTTTTACCCCATTACAGCTTTTTTTTCTGGAAGCTTTTACTCCCATCACTGAGCTCTTCATTCTCCACTTTTCAGGCTCTGAGATTAAAGTTGGCAATCACAGGCACCCTTTCTTGCCCCACTTTTGGCCCACCCTGTAGGCCAGTGATGGTGAATCTTTGAGAGCTTTCAATGATACAAACAATCCCTCTGCAGCACCTGTGCTATAGGTTCATCACCATTGCTCTAGGCTGATGGAAGACAGTCTTGTTAATTTCATTATTTTAAGTATGGTTGCCCTATAGTGCTCTGTGTATGTTGGTACTCAGTTAACTGATGACTTTTAGAAGGGGCTGTGCATCTTTAGATTTTATAATGTGGCATTGATTCAAATCTTAATAATTTGAATAAGAGGGAGGAAGTGTAAGACAGAGCTGAATATAGAAATGGTATTGTAGATAAAATTGACTTGGAGCTTTATTGCAGTATTGTTTCCTCACTAGACAATTTTTACTGCACTTCCCCATTTTTTACTGCTGAGGCAAGTCTGCTGGAGGGAATAGAACTAGCTAAAGTGATCTAGTAGTACAAGTTGACTAGAAAATGGACAAAAAATTCAAACAGGTAGTAGTCAGTCACTTGTCCCTACCTCATTCCTACACAACAATGTGTTTATGTTTTTGTCTCTCTGTAGCTATCTTTCTTCAGGCTTCTGTGTTTCCCTAGCTATGTCTCTCTGGATAAGTCTTTCTGCATTCATCTTGCATTTCTAGTTTATCTTTTGGTCTATTTTTGTACATTACCTTCTCCACTTCACCCCATTCCCGGAGACCCTTCAAGTCCTTGTAGCAGTTTAAAGAAGGTTATATACGGTTCCTCCACCCCTCTCTCCATTAACTCCTGTTCTGAAGCCCCTGTGTGTGTGTGTGTGTGTGTGTGTGTATGTGTGTTTCTGTAACACTCTCTCACTTAAAGATAATTATGGAAATAGAATGTACAATAAAAGAAGAAATAATTTGCTTCTCTCTCAGGCTCCATCCTATGATCAGCTTTCATTTTTAATTCATTTGTAAGTAAAATTAGACAGGAACTAAAGGAAGGTGAGAAGAGCTTGATGCAGTACAGGATTCTGAGTTTTATTTTATTTATTTTTTTTCCAAAGTTTTATTGATAAACAGCAATGAGACAGTTTCAAATAAAATCGGAAGTAGGATTCTGAGTTTTAGAAAGCTTTGCAGCCCCAGTTTTTCTACCTGAGTTCTGACATAGTTATGAGGTTGACATCTTCCAACCAGCTGGACAGTAATGGTTAACTACGTGTTCACTGAGTTGGTAGAGATAATGGGTGAGATGTGTCAGCAGTGAGGTCTCTAATGCTGAACACTTGCGTTAGGTAAACTCAAGCTCCCAGTCAGCAGTCGGACCAGTTTCTTTTCACCATCAACTTGAATTGGAAAAACATTTACTGCTAGGACCCAAAAGAGCTTCTGAATGGAGATCAGAATTCATGCTCTTCATGTGGTAGCCAGATTCCAAATACCGACAAGAACTACAAATATCCTAATTTTTTAAGGATATTTAAAAAAATAAATATCCTTAAAAAATATCACACAGAAAATTAAATATCACACAGTAAACTCTGTGATCAGAAAAATGGTCTTACTTCTCAGGGGAGGAGACAGTGAGGGAGAGGGAAAGAGAAAATTTGATGCAAGAAATATCAAAAGTGGGGCATAAATTTTACTCAAAACATGTTAGCTGTGTTCTAATCTCATGCTTGCTTCTGTCTGGTGTGACCATGATCATACCACTTCTCCATTTGACCTGATATAAAGCTATACTGTTTCACAAAATTATAAAGTTTTACTGTATTCAAAGAGTATTCTACTTCTAATGTTCTGAACCTGTAAGGTTTGTTCACTGTTTATTGGTCATTTCTTTATGCAGAGAACAGTTATGAAGAATGTAGTAAATGCTAGGGACTGTCTCCAGAGAGGGGGACACCACGAAGAAAGGGCAAAAACAGTTGCTGTCTTTATGAAACCTGAATCCAGTGGGAGAAATAGACCTTGGCAACATAATAATATCAGTCAGTGGTTAATGTATAAATACAGTCAAATGATTGACTAAAGGGGCAGAATGGTACCCTTACAGTGGGAAATGAAAAAATTTCATCCCTGTGACCTGGGCTAAGACACCCTATTGGTGGAGGCTTTTGGTCAAGATCTTGTGACACTGACAGATCTCATAAGGGCCTTCATTGTTGCATAAGGGCCAGCTGCTGAGCTCAGAGGCTTCTAAGTTCTTTTAACCCTGAGTTCTTCCTATGAAAGTCCTTTGCTGATTTCCCTGGCCATTGTATTGTTTAACATAAGAAGATTATTGTGCAACTTGTGTTTCCTGGTGACCTCCACCTATGCATTTCAAGCACAGCACTTTAATGACTCTTCTCCTTTGTAGCTCTGAAGTTTATATTTTAAAAGTTATGTGCTGTGATCATTTCAGAGCATTGGTTTGTATTGGGTGATCTGTTTCCCAGATTTCCTTCTCTTTAGATTTATGGTTACATTGGGCCTGAACATTTGATGATTGGCTACAAAGCAGCAGCCTATTTTCCATAGTTGGTGCAAGCATACTGGAATGCTCATGTATATATATTGTTTCTTCCCTGTTAGCTGCCTCAATGGCACAAGCCAACAGCTGGGCCTGCAACCTCCCTCCTAGCCTTGCTAATTAAGCCTTCCAACTTCTCTGACTCTAGACCCTCCGTGTGCATAGTTCCATCAAGAAGCGAGCCAAACACTTTTTTTCTTTTTTTTTCAAAATTTTATTGATAAATAGCAATGAGACAGTTTCAAATCAAATCGGAAGTACAGTTTCAACAAATAACACACTGCATATATTATTCTTAGTGGTTGATTGCTGTACAAGATGCGGACTTGAGATTCTATTTACAAACACCATTAGAACAAATCATTCTATTCATTAAGAGAATGCAACTATATATCTGTCCTAAGCACTTTGAATACAAAATGGATATTCATCTGTATACCCTATTTTTTCTAAGTTCCGTTGTTGAATATTATAGGTGTGTAAACTCAGCAAAATATTCTAAAAGTGTCCAGTAGCCCATAATAGCATTGGGTCTTCTGTTTAACTGGCAATGTCAGAAATTATTGACCTGAGTCCCCCACAGCTCAACATAGCAGTATGGCTTTACTTCCTATATTTTGTCTTCATACTTTTCTACTGGATGGGTAAGACCAAGGTAAAGCAGGACCTATGCAATAAGAGTTGTAGCTTGGTCTGAGAAGGTCAGTGAAATGCCCTCAGGATTTATCCTGAGATCCTGTACCTCAGATTGTAGAACCTTTGTCAGTGTCAGCCATGTGGATGAGTCACGGCCATTGCTTGGCCAATGTGCTCTCTGTGAAAGCCTGAGAAAGTGTTTTCTCCCCATGTGACTCTCCTTAGAGCCAAACACTTTTGCAGAATCCAACTTGCAGGAAGTGAGGGAGGCTGATGGGGGTTCTAGTCAGTTCCCATTGGTTTTAATTCATGCTTCTTGGTTCTATCTCCCCCTGTAGACTTTAAGTTGCTGCATAAAACAAATAGCAAGCCATTTTGATATTATAAAAATATAGTCATTTATTTCACAAGAAATTATTTCATGTAAATTGATTGAATGATTTGTTGATGTCTTGGACAATTCTGAGCAGTGGCTATTAATAAATAATTCTCTGATTATGTGCAATTTCAGTCTGGTGTTTTGGTAAGTTGACAATAGCCTTAAATAAACAATTTAGCCACAATATAATACATGTGGTACACACATACACAAACATACATAGGATGAGGGAAAACACAGACATGTAATTTTCTTTTTAGTTTTTATAGTATTATAGCAATATATGGTCTATATTAGAGCAATTCAATTGTGCTGTTGCTTTTGAAAGCAGCCAGAGAGAATCATAGATATATGGACATGTCTATATCTATATCTCTTTCTACATCTTTGTCTCTCTGTATATCTCTTTGTATGTCTATCTCTATCTCTATCTCTATCTCTATCTCTATCTCTATCTCTATCTCTATCTCTATCTCTATAGCTATATATCTCTCTAGCTTTACCTCTAGCTCCAGCTTTAGCTCTACCTCTACCTACAGCTCTGGCTTTACCTCTAGCTGTAGCTCCAGCTCTACATCTATCATCTATCTATCTATCTATCTATCTATCTATCTATCTATCTATCTCTCTATCTCTATATCGGTAAAGGGTTATGGCCTTTGTAATCCCTAGGAGATATAGAATCCATACATTAAAAAGATTCTGACATTTCATGTTTTACTGAGGAAGACTTTCTCCACTTTTCTACTCCTCAGTTACATCCTCCAAGGCTTTATGGACAGACAGCCACAGAGACTTATGTCTAAAGGAGCCAACAGAAAAGTAAATAATGAGGTTGACACTACTATTAATGATAGAAAGGAAACCAGCAATGCTCCAAAGACTGTTGGAAATATAACTGTTAGTTCCAGATTTAATCCACAGAATGCCTAAAAGCAGGCCACAGAGAAAGAAAACAAGCACTCTGAGACCAAGGGTCACATGCAACCTAGTTATCAACAACCTCCCAGATCCACATAGAATCCTGATCAGCAGGACCAGGCTGGACCCAGAGAGAACCACAAATAAAAAGATCAGCCATGCAGCTGTGATGAAATGCATTATCCGGCATATATCATCTGCGGTGTAAAACAGTGTGATGCACAAGGTGTATGTCAGGATAACAAGAAGAAAGGCTACAACCCAAAGCACAGAACTTGTGACAGATGATGTATGTCTTGGGCGATGACTGTGGTACCAGTTGGGGAACAGGACTGAGAGGCAGCACTCTGAGCTGATGGCACTGATCATACTGACACCTGTGATATAGGAAAAAAGCCTCATAACATGGAAATACACATAGTGCACGGGGTTAACTTGGCCAGTGAACACCACCACGTACAATATGATGAAGGTACAGAGGAAAAGGAAGTCAGCGACAGCCAGGTTGATGACGTAGACTGAGATGGAATTCCTTTGTGTGCGGTCTCGCAGAAACCAGAGCACAACTATGTTTCCAGCCAGACCAATCAGGGCAATGGTGAAGTTCAGCCAATCTGGGATCAGGAACTCACTGCTGACAGGTGGAGGATCAGCTGGAATATATGTATCCATTGTTGGATATTCCACACTACCATCTGGGGTGACTGGATCCATAGTTGCAAAATCTCCACCTAGGCCTCTGGGGACAGAAACAAGAATTGAGGAACCATTGTATGATGTCTAATTTTCAGGACTGCTGTACCATTTGGGAATCATGGTTCCTATTTTACTGGGAGGAAACAAAGTGTTGTAGATGTTAAGTAATCTATCAAAGGCAGGAGAATTGTAGAACCTGGACTCAAAGTCAACTAGGTTGACTGCAAGTGCTGGGCTCTCTGGTGCTGCACAGGCCCTCTAAAGGTAGAATAATATTCTGTAGTCCATTCATGCACATAGATCTCAGCAGTTGCTTCCAGATGTTATACTAGGTACCTTGAATTTATTGAGAAGGGAAGAAGAAATCTAAGATATAGTCTGTGAGAACAAGAAAGAACCATGTACGTTTTATTGCATTATGCTGCTCAGAGCCAGAAATTTTTCTTAGGTTAATTTTATCCCTCTTCAACTCCATATTGTGGAAAGACCTGCCTTTGAGTCACAGACATTCATTTTGATCCACTCTGTTATTTGTGTCCTCTATTGTGGTTTTAATTTTATTTAGTGCACTTTTGTGTTCCAAGATTTCCTTAGATTTTAGTAATTACTTCAATTTTTCTTTTCTCTGAGAAAACACTTGTTTTCCTGAGCATTTTTTTCCCCAGTAGCATTAAAAGTTTTTTAAAAAAATTTCCTGTCCTGGACTTTTCACATACAGTTTACATATGTTAATGTCTTAGCTTTAATTTTTTTTTGTTAATTTTTTTTTATTTTTTCAAAGTTTTATTGATAAACAGATAGCAATGAGACAGTTTCAAATCCAATCCGAAGTACAGTTTCAACAAATAATACACTGCATATATTCTTATTGGTTAATTGCTGTACAAGAAGTGGACTTGTGATCCTATTTACAAACACCATTAGAACAAATCATTCTATTCATTAAGAGAATGCAACTATATATCTATCCTAACCACTTGGAATACACAAATACAAAATGGACATTCATCGGTATACCCCATTTTTTCTAAGTTCCGTTATTGAATATTATAGGTGTGTAAACTCAGCAAAATATTCTAAAAGTGTCCAGTAGCCCATAATAGCATTGGGTCTTCTGTTTAACTGGCAATGTCAGAAATTATTGGCCTGAGTCCCCCACAGCTCAACATAACAGCATGGCTTTATTTCCTATATTTCGTCTTCATACTTTTCTACTGGATGGTTAAGACCAAGGTAAAGCAGGACCTATGCAAGAAGAGTTGTACTTAGCTTTAATTTGTTCTTTAGGTGAGGCTATGGTTGCCTGAAGGTTTTATTGTCTTCTCTTCTTGTACCAACTCCTGCTTCTATTTCTTTTTTCTTTTTTCATTTTTACAGTGTGGATTGAAGCTGTTGTTAAACATGCCTTCTACCTAAGGCATGGACCTCCCTAAAATTTCTTAATGCTTTTTATTGTCTTACTACATCAACAGTACACTGAAGGATTATGACATATTTTAGTGCTTCTAATCTGACTTTGTGCCTATCCTAGCCACTAAGCACGTGGCATATTTTCTCTGAGCCAGTGTCACTTCTCTTATTTTAACACTAGAAGGCACCTAAACTCCAGAAGTGAGTTGATTTAACAATTACTGTGTTGGTCCCGTTTCACCACTAGAGAGGTGTCCAAGCACAATTTTGTAATGAACACTTGGTCTGTCTGGTGCCAGCAAGCACAGGTTGTCTCCAAAAGCCTCTGCCACATGTCGTGGTAGGCACAGGCACTTTGACTAGTTATGAGTATGTGACACTCTTGGTTTCTTGTGTCTCAGCCTCATCACAGAGGAATCAGTACCAGTCTACTATGTAATAACTTGACACTAAATCCCTTTTTCTTTTCCCAAGCAGACTATTACTATCTGAGTTGTGCTGGACAGGACTTGGGAAAGGATGGAATGGATCATCCATACTGAAACTTCTGCCACATTGCTGGGTCATGCTCAGAGCTCACAGTCCACTGAGACCAGTGCAGCACAAGGGAACATTGAAACCCAAAATAGACCACCTGCTGTTGTGGTAAGCTCATGGTTGAGATCCCTAAAATCCATCACAGAAAGTGCTGGCCAGGGTGAAATTTCAGTCAGCTGGGGCCATATGTCTCTGCCTGGGGCCAGGAAAGGTCCAGAGGCTCCATCCACAGGCACTCGGTTGGTGGCACAGGTTGTTGGCATTTGCCTAGTGTTAGTTTCCAGTGTCTGGATACTGAGATTTAAGAAAAAACCCTGTGCTTACTACTCTATTTTCACCCATGGGTGGAATTTTGTCCATGTTCTGTTCTCTGAGGTCAGGGGCATTGGTGGAAGAAGTAGTTGTTTCCAGTAAACTGGCACTAAGCTCGGTTACACCTGAGTCACTGTGATGATTAAAATTTTCAACTTGATTGGTTTCAGAGCTGATTATGGGATTAGTGAAGTATACTTCTGGGTATGTTTGGGTGGGTCATGGAGGTGGAAGCTTGGATCCTGTATATGGTCCTTGGCCCTTTCCTCTCTGGCACTGTTTTAATACTCTGCTTTCTGGCAACTGTAGATGAAACATCTTTACCTGCCCTGCCTTTCCAGCATAATATTTCTGCCTTTGAGCTAGTGGACCATGGAGTAAGTCACATGAAATCATGAGGCAAACAGAACATTTGCTCCTCTAAGTTTCAGGTGTTGAATATTGGGGCTTAGTAACAAGAAAGCTGACTGATGCAGTCACACAGCTACAAGGACCTTCCCAATCTAAGGGAAACTGATACTAGTACCGAGGCTCATAATGATGCAGGCTAGAAAGGGAGTCTCTTGCCCTTGGCCACAGGATTCTGCTTGGTGTCAAGACAGTTCCACAGACTGTATGCTTTGGCCTGGGCACCACAATATTTTATCCCTGTCTGATGCTGGGTCTCAGTGTATCTTACACTGAGCTCCAAAGCAAAATCCTGTGCTCACTTTCCTGTACTCCCAAGAAGCAAGTGGAGTCTTCCATGGTGTGTTGCCTAAGGTTGGGCCATAAGTGATGGGGACTAGTCCCTTGGTGACATGGCTAGTTAGTGCATGTACAGAGGCTCAGGATTTTGGAAATATTCCAAGGATAAGATCTATAGAAGACTTGTTACTGGGTTCCACTTCTGAGACTTGAAATTAATTTTCTTTCCCTCACTCAAAAGTTATATGTCATGGAGGAGAAAGTAGGTAGAAATCTTGAAGTCAAAGGGGTAGGCAGAAAGTTCATGAACAAAAACCAAATAGCACATGAAATGCTTCAAAGAATCGACCACCAGGATCTCATCTTATGAAGTTTTTGCATGCCAAAAGAAATCACCAATAGAGTCAAAATAAAATGCATGTATTGAAAAAACTTTAGCTGACTGTCTCTCAAAGACTTTCTATCTAGAACACATAAAGAATTAAAAAAATCAGCTCCCCAAAATTCAATGACCCAATTCAAAAATGAGCATCTGAGATGAATATACACTTCTCAGATGAAGAAATAAAAAAGATAAGTAAATATATGAAATAATGATCAACATCAACATTAGTCATTCAAGAAATGCAAATTAAAACAACACTGAGATTCCATCTTACCCCAGAAAGAATGGCTGTCATCAAGAAGTCAACCAATAATAAGCACTGGAGAGGCTGTGGGAAAAAAGGAACTCTTGTCCACTGTTGGTGGAGTGCACACTGGTACAGCCATTATGGACATCAGTGTGGATACTACTAAAAAAGCTGGGATTAGAAGTCCCATTCAACTCAACTAAATATCCCTCCTGAATATTTTTCTAGAAGAAATAAAAATATCAATATCACAACTGTATATGTGCACCCATGTTTATAGCAGCACAATTTATCATAGCTAAATCTTGAAAATCACCCAAATGCCTAACTGATAAATGAATAGAAAAGATGTGGTATTTTTGAACAATGCAGTATTGTTCACCTAAAAGAGATAAACTTGAGGTTTTTATAGGTAAATGAATGCAAGTAGAGACCATACTTATAAGTGAAATAAATCAGACCTGCATGTATAAACATCATATTGCTTCCCTTTGTAAGAACCTGAAAGAGTAAATAAAATCCAAAAGGTACAATAGATGCTGTGAAAGGGAAAGGAATAATTTGGATGAGGGAAAGGAGAAAAGAACAGAAAAAAGGAAGGGGGAAATATATACATATTTGTATATAGAATTGTACTACTGATTTCTACAGGTCTATTGAAAGGAACAGTTAATGCTTAAATTTTTTTCTTCTTTTTAATTTTTTGACCAATTTTCTATGCTTATATGTGGAAATCTGAGCAACTAATTTGGAGACAACACTATGCGATATAACAACCACTGTAGAATTCCTAAAAAAAAAAAAAAAAGATGGAGGATGTCTCTTTATACACTGGGCTGCTTAAGGGGAAGGGAGAGCAGCCAAGTCTCTCCTTCCTTTTTTAATGTATGCTTTCTTATCATACTTAAACAGGGCACTGTGACCTCCTGCCTGGTTACCTCAGCTCTTCTGAAGGCACTTTGGTGAGTGACTAGCAGTTCGGTTTTGTCTCTCTGTAGGAGATGATTGATTAGTCAGCCATTATCTTTATCCTTAAGTTCCTGCAGTTCACTTAAGAAGGATATTTTGGCTTTTGTTGCTTTCTAAGACAAGATCTTGCTCTGAAGTACAAGCCAGGCTTGAACTCATATGTAGACCAGGCTGACTTTTAGCAATGCTCCTGCCTCAGCCTTGCATGGTGAGATTACAGGTTTGTGCTGCCACACCTGGATTACAGAGGTTTTTAAAAAGATAGTTATTGTCTGTGTTACTTTTGCTGGACAATATACCCAATAGCCAAAATTAAAGAAGGAAATGCTTATTTAGTTCACAGTTTGTGGAGGTTTCAGTCCATACCCAGCTGGCTCCAGGGAAGCATGGCACATGGCAGAGGGCAGCACTTTGCTGTGGTGGAAAGCAGCAAATGCAGCTAGAGCAAAAAGGCAGGAGCAGCAGCGGAGGCAGAGAGCAAGCCTCGCTCCCTTCCACAGACTGCACCCAGGCTGTCTGCCCCAGGCCAGGTGCAGCACTCACACCCAAATCCCAGCAGTTCTTACACCCATAATCCTGGCATTTGCTAATGAATTAATCACAACCTCTAGAAGTCTGCCCTGTGACTCCATGAGGCTTTGGGAGTACAACTAGACACAAACCATAACAATTATTCTGAATTATTTTCCTGTCATTTTATAGATTTTCCTTTGTTCAGGGTCCATTATTGGAGCTTTCCTGCTTTCTTTTGATGATGTCATGGCTTCCTGAGTTTTTGTAATTCCTGTGATCATTTTTAGCTTGGGGGCATTTGCAAAGACTCTCTCCCACTGTCTTTTTTTTTTTTTTATATTTTCCTATGGCAGGAATACAAGTTTACTCTGGCCTCACCCCTGCTTCTGAGTTGACTAGCTGCTGTTGCCCTGGGCAGGCTGAGCCTGATTTAAGTTTCTCTAGATGACTGGGCTATTATTACTTTGCTCTTAATTTGGGTGGGACAGCTGCCTGGGCTCTAATTTATGGCAAGAACTGATTGAGATCTATGATCAGGCTTCACTACTAGGCATATAGTATAGTTATCTAACATTTGTCTGAGTCACACTGTATAGTCCCTGGACAGAAAGCACTAGGATTTAAGTTCATCAATTGGACAGGTTTGCAAGATGAGTTTGTAGGTTAAATGGATCAGGCTGGATCCTGATTGTCAATCTTGGTTATCAGATTTTAATCCTCTATCAACATCAAAATTGCCAAGAGGAAGCATCAGGTCTTTTGTCTTTTCCTTCTTTAGTCCCTCTTATTTGCAAAACTGTATCCCAATATGGAGATTTGTGGGTATGAACTAAACAGAAATATTCAGCAGTGGCTTTGGAAATAAGTTCTAGATAAATTCTTACCTTTCTTCCATTTTTTTTTTTTTGCTGGATATGATGAACTGTCCTGAGCTGAAGGATGAGACTCTTATAGGATTGCCAGAAATTAAAGGGCACTTCTTGGCTTTGGAGAGATGGCCTCAGGAGCCAGAAGGAAGTTTGGTGCCTACATGAGCCTTATCAATCTGGTGGACAGCACTGTGGTTTCCTGTGCAGAGCTCAGCTAGCGAATGAGAGTGTGAGGTGCATTGCATCATGTTCCTTACAAGATGTTTCTAACATTTACTCAGGTGGTATTCCTGCCTTCTGCCCTCATCCATCCCCACCCCTCGCTGTCCTCTTTCCTGAAAGTGACTGTTATTTTGGGGCTCTTGCTGACCATGAATGCCAGGGTGTGTGAGCTGCACTTGGAACTCTTTAATAAAAAACCACACACTGTTTAGTTGTCACTCAGGGCTTCTCTCCAGTCTTGTCCTTTACATGCACATAACTACAACTTCTTTTTAGATCACAAATAAATGTATGAAACAACAGTGAGTGTCTTGCAAAATCTTATTCTTTATAAGCAACAAATCGTACAGATTTTTTTTTTTTGTATTTAGTACAAGGTCTACAGAATCTACAGGGTCTCACTATGTAGATAAGACTTATAGTGATCTGCCTGTGTTCAGCCTCCCAAGAGCTGGGATTACAGGTGCACACCATCACGCCCAGTCTCAATCATCATCTCAGCATGCCCTGGGGGCAGGGCCAGCACAGCATGCTTGGGCTCGCACTTGGGCCAATGGCTCTGCCTAAACAGGCGCTTTAATCCACTGACCTATTTGGCTGGCCTAAGTCTTTGTTCTTAAACCTCTTATTACTTAAAATTATAGCTTGACCAATAAATAATTATATTTTTCTATTTGTTTGTGTTAAGAAATGCACAAACCAACTTCCCCTATGAGATACAAAATTAGTACTCTATAGCCACTTGGCTCCCAATGAAAGGTAAGGAGAAGATAAGAACTGGTTTAACCAGATAGATTTTGTGTGTCAAATAGGCAGTTAGGGGTGAAGTGAGGGGTGAAAATGTGTGAAAGTGGATTGTTTTTGGTGTTTGAGGACTTGAATATTCTCTACACAGTTGGTACAAAATACCTACAAAAAGCTGGCCAAAGAGCTCAGCTGATTAAAACGTCTGTTTAGGCAGATGCAGGGGCTGGGAGTTTGGTTTCCCTGCCATTAAGTGGTGGCACACACCTGTAACCCCAGAACATGGGAGGCTGTAAACAGGAGGATCATTAGGAGTCTGATCTATGCGGTGAGACCCTGAACACCCTGTAGACCCTTCCCTAAAATACTGAAAAAAATATCTACAAGAGATAAATGACAAGGGGAAGGCCCCTTCTGGAACTCAGCAACACTCTAGTTCACCATTGCAAAGAAATTGGCTACATGAACAAGGGTAAGAGAGTCTCACAAATTTTAAGTTTAATGTATCAATGAAAAGCAAAAAACCAGCCACTTCCTCTATGTGTTCAAAAAAGACCTTTAAAAATGAATTGTGGAACTTAGAGAACCTTTTCATGAAGCAACACATGGACAGGGATTTGATAAATTCTAATAGTCTCTACATGTATCAAAGAACCATTTTATTAGAAATATAATAGAGATATAAACTACATGTATTAAAAACAGACATTAAAAAACAACAACAACAAAAAAACCCCAGACCTTAGTATATAACCATTTATGTAGTAAGTCACTTTATCTCTCTAGGAAGATCACATATAAATAGATATCCCAATCCACCCTTCATCTGGAATTCCAAAACCTTCACCACTATCAATACCAACCTTCAATCCTGAAAGTAGTAATTATAACAACAGGTTATGCAATCTATTTATTTTTAAGGCAGAAATGATCAGCTGTATTTATTTGTTATTTTTTTCTAATTTTATTTTATTTTGGGAATAAAAGCAAGCAAAAACAAATAGAAAAAGAGAGAAACAGGATAGAATACAACAATACATAGGTTACAGATTTTCAAAACAGGAATAGCTAATTAACAGTGGTTATATTATCTATTTTTATCATCAAATCTGTTGTTCAGATTAACAGATAAAGTTATGGAAGATTGGACAAATAATTGAATATCAATACTTGCTTTCAACAAAGCTTAATTTTTTCCTTGTCTTTTAAAAAATATATTGTAAAAAGAGAACAGTAATAGATAAATATTAGAAATGGTACAAATTTAGAAGACTAAGATGAAAGGTATTCAATCATGTGTTTTGTATTCCACATTGCTGTCCTCAGTGTAGTTGCTCAGATATCAGATATCAGCATACAGAGTTAGTCAAGGTGAAAATTTTAAACATGAAGTGCTATTTAAAAAAACTAATGGGAATTATTTGAACAATCATTTCAGCCATCTGGTATATAGACTTGCATGTTTTCCCCCTTCCCTTTTTACTATTTTTCTCATTTCTCTGATCTTCATTGTTTAATCCTTATGTTCAGTTTCTTTTCTATATTTTAACCATATCTGTTATACCATTCATGTTTTATTTATTCTTTCATGGTCTTCCACTAGGGAGACAGTATGATATTTACACATGTGTGTGACTTATTTCACTTATGATTATAGCCTCTAGTTGCATTCACTTGCCTATAAAAAGTCTGGGAGTTTGTGTTTCTTTATAGCTGAGTAGTATTCCTTTATATAAAAATACCACATCTTTTTCATCCATTCCTCAGGTGATGAGTATTTTGGTTGTGTCCAAGACTTGGCTATGACAGATTGTGCTGGTATAAACATGGGTGCACATACATCACTATGGCATGATGTTTTTAGTCCTTTTGGAAAAATACTCAGAAGGGAAATAGCTAGATTGAGTAGGATTTCTAGTTGTAGTTTTGAAAGGAATTTTTACACTGGTTTCCATATTGGTTGTACCAGTCTACATTCCCACTAGCAGTGGAGAGTGTTTCTTTTCCACTGCAGCCTCTTCAGCATTTGTTATTAGTTGATTTTTTTTATGATAGCCATTCTTTCTGGGGTGAGATGATATCTCCATGTTATTTTAATTTTCACTTCTTGAATGGTCAGTGCTGTGAAACATTTTTTTGGTGTTTTTATTGGCCATTTGTATTTCTTCCTTTGAGAAGTGTGTTTTCATCTCAGATGCCCATTTGTGGAATGGGTCTTTTAATTTGGGGGCCCTATTTTTTTTTTTAGTTCTTTATATATTCTAGAGAGAAGACCTTTGTCTGAGTGATTATTGGTTAAGATTTTTCCCAATTCGTGGGTTGTTTTTTCATTCTGTAGGTAATTTCTTTTGACATGCAGAAACATCTCAGTAAGAGCAGATCAGTTGTTGATTCTTTGGAGTATTTTCCATGCAGTTTGGGTTTTGTTCATGAACGCTCTTCCTACTCTGATGTATCAGGATTTCCACCTACTTTCTCTTCCAGGAGATTTAGTGTTTCTGTTTTAATATTTAGATCTTTAATTCATTTTGACTTTAGTGTAGTGCATGGAGATAGACCCAGGCCTGGTTTTACTTTTGAGCAGGTAGAGAGCCAGGTTTTCTAGCACTATTTGTTAAAGAGGGTATCTTTCTTCCAGTGAATATGTTTAGCCCCATTGTCAAAGATAAGATGGCTGAATGTGTTTGTAGTTGTATTGGCATCTTCTAATCCATTCCACTGATCTCAGGCCCATTTTTTTTTTGCCAGTACTGTGCTGTTTTTGTCACAGAAGCTTTGTAGTAGAATTTCAAGTCAGGGATTTTAGTGCCTTCTGCATGGCCTTTGTTGCCTAAGATTGCTTTTGCTATTCTCGATCTTTTCTGGTTTCAAATGACTTTTAAGAATGTTTTCTCTAGATCAGTGAAGTATGTTCATGGTATTTTGGTAGGGATTAGGCTATGCAATCTAAATGTGACAAGCACAGAGGTGATAATGAAACATGTCATGTTGAGAAGCCTGTCACACTATAGATGGAATAGGAAGGTCTCTGGGAGAAACTTGTATAGAGAAGAGATGGGTGTCAGTCACAAAATTGAAACATTGGAAGTAGTACTGCAACAGAAAATGCCCCCACTCCTGCTAGTATATTTCAGATTCTTAGTTGCCCAAGTAGTTCCTGTTTCAGATCCTGTTGCTTCAGTTTGTGAGAAATGACTGATCACTGTGATGCATGATGCATAGCTGGTCACTGTGATAGACATTGCAAAAAACTGCCCATTTGACAAAAAAATTCTGCTTCTGTACTACCTGATTGCTTATCCCATATAAGTCCTAGACCACCAGAATTTAGAGCCTGATATTCTGGGAGTGATCCCAATCAGTGCCTGTCAATGTGAATAAATTTGCCTCAAAATCCTCTGTGTTGTTTTGGTGTTTTTCGTGTGTTATTGAAATATCAGTGTGAGTCCTGAGAAGAAGGAGGATGGTCAGAATAAGGGTCAGAACAGTGGTCAGAATAAATGGTTAAAATAGAATGCATGACAGGTAAGGTGATGAAGGGGTTACAGATGGAGAAGTTGGGGTATTGGGTGGAAAATCAATGTGAATGGTGTAGTTATCATAATGCAGATACTGTTGTCAGTGGAGGACTCTATAAACTAGACACTCAGGGCACAAATAATGTAACAAACATTCACCCTGGAACAAGGGTTAAATGCATATAAAAATTAAATGTATACAACATTTAATTTAGAACATTAAGTGTTTGTAAATATTTTTTGCTACCATTTTTTTAGAATGAGTAAAAAAGACTATCAGAGACAAGCAGTGATTCAGTCTTGCTTCTCTGCTTTCTTTGTGACTCCTCTAAGATTGTGAAATTTGTGTGTATTTTTTCACTTGTAACAGATTCTCTGAATTTATCAGAAATATAGATACTACAGAAAACTCATTTGAAAAGAGTTTCAACATGATTTGTAGAATTCAATATTAAATTTTCTGATGTCTTTACAGAAATATGAATCCACTGTCTACATGAAACTACCAAAAGACTTAGTGTTTTATTTTTATGTGAGGATGAAAAATATTGACTTAATTTAAAGCTCAACCATCTCTCCCCTCCTATCTTGGAGGTTCATTACAGGTGCATT